TCTCCAGATTGTCTCAGAGAAGACTTGCATAGGGAAATATCACAGGTGAAAGAATCCTTTACTCCTTCTACACAACTAAACAATCAACTTGCAGCAAAATGTTCCTTTCACTGTAGGATCTATTCTTATTTTCAAAGGTGAAATTACATCTGGCTAAGCAAGGTGTTTTTCTGACTCTGGCCTGTACTTTGGTCCTTTTCAGTCAAGTGAGTGTACTATTTGAAGAATGTTTATGCATTGAACACTGTGATAGTGAAAAATATCAAAACTATCATTAGAAAGTATTCAGGAAAACCAAGACCATTGAGAGACACATTTTCTTGCTTATTTTTCTTAACTCCAATGTCTGAGATTTCAGTCACTGTTCTTTAGAACTGTCTTCTGAAAAGTCTAAGATCCAAGAGGTTTTAGATTATTCAGTTCTAAGAGCAAAAATGATGTAACATTTCAAGTAAAAGCTGATTGATTCTTTTTTCAGCAAGAAATTGGTCAAGAATTTTATTGCATTAAGTTTTATCACATTAAAATTGAAAATGGTTCTCAAGCTGTGTTCACTGTTTGCTCTTCTAATTCATTGCTTAAACTTCCAATAAAGAGTGATGACAGCTACAATACATCAACTTGTTTGGAAACTCACAGTTTGGTTCAAATTAACATAAGGGAGAGAGAGAAAGAAAAGAAGTGGGAGAGAACATATTAGCTGTGTAAAGCAAATACAAAACCTTGCCTCAGTATTGTCAAGAAGGTTTTCACCATTCTTCTTGTTGTTATTTATTTGCTTTTCATGATTTTTCTTCTGAGACTTGTTCCTAGAGAGCTGCCATTATTTGTTAATCTGTTATCTGTTAATTTGCACCCTTTCTCTTGTCTAGTCCTTGACCAACACAATTACAAAAAGCACTGTATGTATATTTACGACCAGGTCGTGCCTGTTCATGCCCGATCCTTAGAATATGGTTTTTTCCTCTGGCCTTTCAATGATAAAGAATATGACTGTGTTTCACAGCATAGAATTTTCAGTTTAATTCACATTTTAAGTTGTAACTGGTGAAGAATTAAAAAGGAGGAAAGGCAAGGAAATCTCTTCCTTTTCTCCCACTATTGAGTATCAGTCAAGTTTTTGCTAGAAGTAGTGTCAGTGAAGTTTTACTGCCTCTGAGTCATTAATGGAAAATTGGAATGATTGTGGAATGATTCGTTAAGGGGAAAATATAAAGAAGAAGAAGAATCACCCCCCCCCCCAAAAAAAAAAAAAAAAGGTTGGTGTTTTAAAGAAGAGCATCAGGAAATTCAATTTGAAGTTTTCATTATGTGTATTTAATTTGCCAGGTTTAGCAATAGCAAGCTGCACAGATATAAATGCATTATCACAGCGTGGAGTCTGGCCAGTAGTTCTAGTGGCCAACCAAACCAAAAGCTGCTTTAATTTTCACCTACAGTCACTTAAAAGTGTATTTTATCAAGACTTTGACCCCAAGTCCCTTATGACAAGTTAACACCTTGGCAGGTAACAAGACTGCTGTCCCATTGGACCTCTGTACCAGAGATAAAGAAAATAGTACTGTTCAGATTAGACTGGGCAGTTAGCGGAAGGAAAGAGGATAAAATAGGAGGAGGAATAATGCCTGGAAGTAGTTTAAAGTCAGATAATCTCCTCATAAATCCTGCTTATGAAATGAACATGTAAGTACATGTACAAATTGCATGTATCAGTTAGATTAAGCTAGCCAGAGGTCAGTTTACAGTGAGTAAACCACCTGAAGTAATTTACAGCTCAGTAATGTGAATAGAGGATCACACCACTGTTCAGATGTTGCAACCTTACAATTATTTTGAATTAAGCTATTTTGTAAAAGAATTATTTTACTGTGAGGCAAAGCCTTTTTTTTGTTCCTCTTCATTATGATTAAGTTATTTCTAGTGGCTGTTACTAATAATTTCTTTAAAAATGGTGCAGATTTAATTAATACTTTATTGTCGCATAAGATGACAAATAATGTCTGTTCTATACATTGATTTTTTTAATGCATTCTGGACTTGAGGCATTGTGGTAAGTTAATTTACAGCTACTCATCAGAGCTGTCGTACTTGCAAGTTTGATGTGCACATTGTACATGACTCTGGAGGTGTGTTGTTCATGTTGGCTATACTACTGTTTTGCTATTGATACCCTCTGATATTTACATTGATTTCTTACATAGGGCTCAACTGGTTTCCCAGGATTTCCAGGTGCCAATGGAGAGAAAGGTGCAAGGGTATGCTAATTCATGCTTGCATGACAATTAACTTTTGGAACTCACTGAAAGCAAAGGATACAATTTACTGCGTAAAGAACTATGAAAACAGGCTTTTCACACTTAAGATGAACCTCTACAGCTATGTAAAACAGAGACATACCAAGATACTGAATCTCAGTCTTTGCGCTATTAATCTACATGTAAAAGAATTCAGACACTTTTTCACTGCATATGCTACCATAATTATACATTTGGAAAAGAGAAATCACCTTTGCTGAAGCATCTTTTTTGACAGTATAGCTGAGTGAGTTGGCAAAGACTATTTTCCTGTATCCCATGAATTATTCTGCTACCATGCAATTTACCCTCAAGGAACTTCAGTTTGTATTTGATAAAAATTCTGATTTTCCACAAGTTTTTTTATAGGCAAAGCTTTGAAAATGCAAAATATACCAGACAAGATGAAGAACATGTACTATTACACATGTTAAAAAATGTAAAATGACAGCTTTTGCTGCTTTGTTTACTTGGAGCAGGTGAGGGAAAATCTGTTATGCATATTCTTCAAACTATCAAAATGAAATATACGTTAGAAAAAGGTCACTGTGCTGTTGCCTCTAAGCTCAATTGAGCATAGCAGAATATGTTGTTAGAAAGGTGATGAAATTAAGAGCATAGTCAGAATTCATAGATGATAGTAACTTAAAGTGAAGCTGAAATAATTTATATCATTGTTTCTAGGAATATATTGTAATTTGCAGCACAAAACAAACCAGAAATTCATGGGTTTGTGATAAAATGTATGAAATCCAATTGCATATGCATGGCTTATGCATGGTTTAAATTGTTCTCGTATTAATTTAGCTAGGATAAAGATACATTGTTATGGACAGACACAAGCAATAAACCAATATTCATTTCATCCCTGTTGGGAAAAATAAGACATGACTGTTAATAAACATACCAGATTGGAAAACCAAGCAAAACAATATCAAACAGCAGACTTAAAATTACAAAAATGTGTTTATATTGGTTTGTTATCAGGCCTTCATAAAGCTTTCAATTCAGCTAGGGTACTAACCACATAATTAATACAATTAAACTACATGTATATTTACATGTAGTATGTATATAGCTTACATAAGTAGTAAGTATAAGCTGCTCATCAATGATGAAATAATTCTGTAATGCGAATCAGGTGTTATTATTAATCTTGCCTAAAGGGTATCATTGAGTTTTATGCTACCACACATAGCAATACTAGGAAGGACACTAATTGTCCCTGAGACGTTCACAAGCTGTGTAGCATTTTAAGAGCAACACATAATATTAATTTTGATAAGTGAAATAAAATCAATAGAAACCCTCTCCGCATACACACACAAGAAGACCCTCAAGAAAACTAGTGTGTGCATTTAATTGCTTTCAAATAAAACCAAGCTTTATGCTAAAACATCTATGCTGACTTTCTGTTGCTGTTGTGTTTACCTCAGAGATCAGAAAGTAGCCGTCACTAGGTGTCTTCTTCTACCCGAGGAATACTGTCTTGAATTCTAAGCTTCTTTGCATTAGAACGCACAGCAATATTAATGCGGACTCTAAGGAAAGAAATGTGTTGAAAAGGATTAGATGTATTGAAGCGAAAAATTAAGGGCTGGTATTCTTGCAAGCTCTGTATCTCTATACAAGTGGTGCATCTCTCTGCAGAATCCTTGTAGGTATTACAGTCCCTATTTCAGTTATACAAAAAGAAAGGCTTGCCCTTTATTTTCTCCATGGAGCTGTCCATGGGAACCTGGGAACTTTGTCTTCAAGGCTACTCTATTAGAAGTGATGCCGAGTCCTTTAGGGGACTCTGCTTGTTGTGTGCCCTCTTCACTACTATTTTAACATAGTTTAAAATGTTCTAATGACAGAATCTGACTCAGGAGACGAATTTAGTACATTTAGCTACAAGTGCCAGTGAACTCAGAAAGATAATCTTTTTTCACTGAGGACCACGAGTCTGTAAATTGAAATTCAAAGTAGATAATAAAAGATAAAGTAACATTTAACCCTAAGGGAGTTGCACTCTGCCTTCACTTCAGTAAGAAAAAAAACCCCTTTATCCCACAAATACAGTGTCTGTTAAGACGATTTCCGTGAACTTTTCTCTACAGGGATTACATGGCAAACCAGGCCCAAGAGGACAGCGAGGACCAACAGTATGTACTTTCACTTTGCTTTCCTATATTAATTGCCTCCATGTCGTGTTTTAAGCCCAGCCAGTAACTCGGAACCACGCAGCCACTCGTTCACTCCCCACCTTCTTCCTCCCCCTGCTCCTGAAGGGATGGGGAGGAGAATCAAAAGAATTTAACTCCCACGGGTTGAGATAAGAGCAGTCCAGTAACTAAGGTATAATACAAACCACTACTGCTACCACCAATAATAATAATGATAAGAGAAATAACAAGGGGAGAGGATACAATTCTCACCACCCACTGACCAATACCCAGCCCGACCCGAGCAGCGATCTGGGCCTTCCGGGTAACTCCTCTCCATTTTTATACTGGGCATGACGTGCTGTGGTATGGAATAGCCCTTTGGCCAGTTTGGGTCAGGTGTCCTGTCTCTGCTTCCTCCTGGCTTCCCCTCGTCCCTGGCAGAGCATGAGACTGAGAAAGTCCTTGGTCAAAGTAAACATTACTTAGCAACAACTAAAAACATCGGTGTTATCAGCATTGTTCCCAGACTGAAAGTCAAAACCACAGCACTGCACCAGCTACTGAGAAGGAGAAAAATGACTGCTATAGCTGAACCCAGGACACTCCACCAGACTGTGAAGAATTGTTCTGATTTTGGTTATAGTATCCAATAATTATCATCAAGTGTATCTCTGTTAAATTGACAGGGCCCAAGAGGCTCAAGAGGTCCTAGAGGTCCCACTGGCAAACCAGGTCCTAAGGTAATTGTCAGGCACCTTGTATAGATTGGCTACAGGCTGTTTATCTTAAATAAAATAGAGGTCTAAACTTCGAACATGTTGTCTTTCCTTTCTAGGGTACCGCAGGCAATGATGGTCCTCCTGGCCCACCAGGTGAAAGGGTATGTGAAAGCTATTTCTGTACATGTTGTTCTTTCCACTAACTAGGACTGTGATTTGAGGGGGGGGTGTTGTTTTATTTTTAATTCTCCCTCACATGTTTTTGCCTTTCTTTCACCAGAGTAATGAAACGATTCAAATGATGCTTTTCAGAAAGCTATGAGCTGAAGTTTGCTGAAAGCTTCTTCCATCTGAGCTTAGTTTTGTACATACAGGACACAGAGAATACATGTGCGCTTTGTGTTTATACCCATGCATTTCTTATATATCCATGCAAATTACAATTGTACTTACCAGCTTCTGCTCTTACAAATGCCCCATTTACTGCAGCTTGTTTATGGGATTTGCAAGTGACTTGAGTCACCTCCAGAAGCTTCTTTGTTGAAGCAGCTGATCTTTTTCTGTTCTGATCAGCTGAGAATTCCCTTCAACCTAATTTCTGCATGCTTGAGAAATCCTGTTGTGCTTGCTAAAATAAAATTTTCTGCTTGCTATTAGCTTACCAATCAGTAAACAAATCCAATATAGTCAGCCCATTACATAGCAGTATATAGAAAAATGATATTAATAAATCAGATTTGTAATAGCAGCACTTGAAAGCCAACTCAGCTAGTTTAAGTGGACATGCTTTCTGCCAAAGTATTTTTGCAAAGCTTAAGAAGCTTTTCTTTTGTAGTCTTATTTCATTAAAGCGCTAACCTATTTCATGTAGAGCATCTATAAATCCTTCCTCAGCACCCACCCCAAAGTTCCAGTGTTCTCCACAAGTCTTACTCTTCAGGAGGGACCTCGTTTTGCGTTCTCCCCTGCTCCATAATGTCACTGTGTTACACTGTTTCCTTGCTGACTGCATGCACACTTGGTGTAACAATACAGGCAGAACAACAGCAAAGTGGTTTTGCTAGAATGACTAAGCAAATTGAAAAAGGAAAAATGAATATTGGATCAGCCCACCTGGTTTGGTTGGGTTGTTTACCAGAGGTAAAGACATCCATACAACTGATGATAAAAGCATGGCATAAGTGGTTCTGTGAATCTCAAGTTTTCACTTTGTGTGTCTGCAGGAAGAAGTTAAGGTTAATTTTGTGTTGTTTCTCCTTAGCAGTTGCAAGTAGAGTATTAATAAACATCTGTCTGCTATACACATGAAAAAGATGTGCATGCCTGCATAACTAATGTCACATTTTTTCTGATTAAGAAAATGATTCCTTTCCTTTTGACTGAAAGCCATTAAAGCATATGCCAAAAAAAATGATACCAGAAGAAAAAAAGTTTTCACTTACTAAAAACCTTTCATGCTTTTACCTCCTTTATTCCTGAAGCAGAATGTTACTTAACTGTCCAAGAGATGTGGTTAGTGATCAGGACAGTGGTTCTTGGAGCAAGGAGGAGAAGTAGGGTAGAACAGAAGGGAAGCTGAGAACTGGAAGACTGGACTGTAGCCAGTATATATGGAAGGCAACACTCCAAGGGACGCTGCAGTGAGAAGTTGAAAGTACCTCTGTATCAAGCGAAAGACAATGTACCAAGTGGAACATGGATAGCAGGAATAAGTGCAAAGTTTGGGTGAAACAGGAATAATGTGACAAGTAGAGAGAGACACATGGGGAAGGAAACTGCAATTCAAAAGAAGAATGAGTTAACTAGGATCCAAGAAAGGAACTGTAGGTTGTTTTACACTGTAGAGGATCATCAGAGATACATTACCAGAAGGTCAGTAGCAAAGCCTCAGGAAGGAGGAGTTTGTGACAGCTCCAAGAGGTGTGAGGAAGCAAAAACAATGAGCAGATCAATCCAAGATGAAGGCATCCCTGGAGAGAAATTGATTAGATCAAAGAGATGAAGAACCTCAGAGCACCATATCTCATATCACTTGTGTAATATAAGTGTGAGGTATCTGTTTGCTTCCCAGTAGGGGTGAACGTCAGCCAAAAAAATAAAGCACTCATTTCTACTCCACTGAGGCTATTTCTGGTATCAGATATGTAAGCATTAAATAATCTCTACTGTCGAAATGAAATTTGATGACAAAAAAGAAAACGTAATTTTGATAACATGCTGGTAGTGTTCTAATGCTTTTTCTCACTTTTTCCTCACTTAATCCATCAGTCCAGTGGCTTGAAATCTGCAAGCAATATTGTGAATTAAAAAATGCAAATCTTTCCTTAAAGATCTTCCAGATGTGAGGGGTCAGTACAGTTGGAATTTATGAGAAAAAAGGTGCAACTAACAGTAAAACATAGAAAACAATGTTTCTTACTCCCACTTGATTCCTGCTCTATTATGCACAGTTTCAGGGGTCAGCTGCAGAAATACATTATAGAAGCCCTTTTTCTTTTTTCCTTACTGCATTCCTATACAGGCATTATTGCTTTAAAGAAATCCTTTGGGAGGGAAATCCCCGACTGATTTTTCAGGCAATTCAATGTCTATATGAGTTGTTGCTACCAGTATTTATCGCAGTGGAGCTGAGGCTTTATACTTACAACCAGACATTATCTACAGAGTTCATAGATTCTATGATTGAAGTGCATATATTTTATAATTTGAGCAAACTTTTTAATCCGGTGTCGTAAAAGCCTGAGTAAAACTTCACTTGCTTTGTTACCTTTATACTAGGGACCACAAGGGCCTCAAGGACCTGTTGGATTCCCTGGACCAAAGGGACCTCCAGTAAGTATCTTTCTAATGAACTATGTGCAACAGTAGGAACATCATTATTTTTCTTTCAGTGTTTCTGAGGTGAATATGTGAATATTTATGTAAGGGACGGTTTATGTATAGATTACAAATACGCTTATTGAGCTATAGAGCTAACACAAGAAGTCACATATTCAAAATGATCATGGGTACAGCTTGTATTACATTGAGCATACTATGTTAAATTGCAACTCCTGTAGTATGTTGATGCCAATGTCCAGGTGACAGACTGAGTTTAGGCGAAATATTACTTTGCTGGTGTATCTTTCCTTTTAACAATGGGTTAATAGAGGAAAAAAATTGAAGAGGAAGGAGACATTCAGTAGTAGTAGAAATGTATAGAAGTAATAGTACATCTGAGCTGCAGCTTAGATTAGTGATAGTGCTCTTCCAGTATGTTTCTGCTCATGTAGAGTATGCACAAAAGTATCAAACTGCCTGTGTTGGTTTTTTTTTTTCCCACCATGCATTTTTTTATGTTTATAATTGCCAAAACTGGAATTCCATCAGATACTCCTGTAATGCTTAGTTTTGTGTTAACTAAGTCATTAAGCAAAGAAAAATGGAAGTTTAGGTACTTCCCATGTTTTCTGAATTTACTGAAATCCATTTTGAACATGCATGCATCAGGGAGGACACAAAGAAAATGTATTATTAAAATCATAGTTAGCTGATACAGGAGCAGTTAAGCTGTACTGAAGACTAGTCTAGGAAAAAGAAAAAATTAGATCAGAGGTTCTTACAGCTAATTCCATGGGGGGGGTTTCTGAATTAAGGAAGGCTAAGAAATGATTTATGTATCCTACAATTTCAGGGTCCACCTGGAAAAGACGGCTTGCCTGGGCACCCAGGGCAGCGGGGTGAGACAGTAAGTGAATGTACTCTACTGTGTTAGTGTGTAAACCTCCCAAGGTCATGATTGTGTGATCAAAACAAAAGAAACAGCCAATAGAGAAAAGGGAAAG